TGACCTCGCTTCAGTACTATCCATTGGTCAAACCCTGGTTACACTTTTGCAGTTTGCTCATTATTTCCTCTATATTTTTCAATCATTGGTTTATAATTTGGTTTTCAGTGTTAATGAATACTTTTCTTCTGATTTCTTAAATATAGTACACTTGTTTTCAACCATTGAGTTGTACAAATTTTATGTACTACCCCCCGTGTCTCATGTTAGAGACATAAAAAGTTATGCTTTCGTGATTTAAACTTTGCTAACTTTTTGATTCTACCTTTTATCATTTTATACATCATTGGCCTTTTACTCTTTGTGAACCCGTACTCCATTTTTTCCTTGCAGAATGTTACAATTGTAAAGTAACATATAGTGATCAATTTTACTTTCCTAAAGCCTGTCCATAACCCAAATGACATATTGGGACAGAGGAAGTAAAACTAAATAGAAATCATAAACTGTCTCATTCTCATTTTTCTTTTCATATTACTACTATCTGTACCTCCACCAACATGCAAAATTACAAACACTATTTCTTGTGTTCTAGGGGATGTGAGAGAGAAACTACCACTCAGTCCAACAATAGCATCTACTCAAAGAAATGGATATGGTTTCGGGGTGCACCTAGGTGAAGGCCCTTTGCTGTACCCATCATCTAGTGGTGTATCACATAGTAATTCGTCCAGTTGTTTGGTAGGGCAAATCCAATTCGATAGTGGTATGGGCTCCTTCCGGCCCCCACACAGAAGCCAACAACGACTTCAAAGCAGAAGATCGCAATCTCGAGAGGACCTTCATTCTTCATTGGCTGAGACCAACTTGGCAAAGGTCTGAAATGCTCCCCGTCACTATTTCCCTCCAAAGATAGTCTTCATTATGAAAAGGATTTGCACTCCAGGGTTGCCGTATAAAATGCCACGTGGCAGTATATACTGATTCCACATGTGTCACCACAAGGTAGAAAGGATAGTTAGCTGACTTTTGTGAAGGATTTGAAGTTTGTGAATAGTCTTCTGAACACCCCCCTGATGTTTACATTGACTTATACATAGGTTAGTCTTTTCTCAAAATATGGGTTGAGAACACTTGTGTAGTTGTGGGGGTCCCTCTGGCGGGAATATTCCCTCCTAACATCCCCTTGTTCCAATTGGTAGCAAACTTCAGATCTTGAGTTATAAAGGTATATACTGCTCTTGTTAGAAGAGAGCTTCAGATCTTACTTTATGGATAGCCTTAGCTTTTTTGGGAGTAGGTGGCTCTGAATTCTTGGGGCACTCTAAATTGTTAAATGATTATAAACTTCTATGACCATACAGAGATGGATATACAAATGGCACTTGTTGTGGTGAGTTTAGGAAGAAAAAATGTGAGGCGCAACACAATAATGAATTTAAGCTATTTTTGCCTTTTTGGTGGTGCAGTTAAAATTATCGAAAACAATAGAAAATTGCTTGTTTTCAATATCTATTCGGAAATAAGATGGTGAATATATCAAGTTTTCAACATGCAGTTATTTGTATATCATATCATTATTCTTTTTAAAATATTGCATACCAAATCACAAAATGTATTCAGTCATGGGGCAACGACATCTTCATCCCAAACCTGGAATTTTGACCACATGTTAGACAAACAAATGATGCAACTATTGTTGCAATGTCAAGGATGATTTTTAAATCTAGAAACCATTCTTGAAATTGACTAAAGTTGTAGGATGATGACTTTGAGGAGGAGCCCCGGTGGAGGATACGAAGGTGGGGATACCCTCGACAAAGAGCAAGGAAGCGTTCATCTGAACAACCCGACCAAGGTTACACTTTTTAAAAAAAATTGTTCTCACCTTTTTTAATATCATTTTAACAAGGTAGAGGATCATTCGGACAACAGGTGGTATCCACATTACGTGATTAATAAGCTTTTTCTGTATCTAACGTTTTCGTGTGAGTATGAAGGGGAAAAGTTTGATATTTTGAAATGGTAGAAGAACAGAGAAGCAATGTTTTCAATCTTATCAGCAATGACGAAACAAGTCTTCTCCATGTCATGAAAGAAGAGTTTAGTCAAAGTGACAACATCCTTATCGATTATAGAATAAGGTTGATAGCGCAATTTACGTTTGGTAGAAGGCCCACCAACTCAAAAACTAAACATAATACCAATCTATCACTTCATGGAGGAAACATCCGACTGAGGAAGCAGGAATTCCGAAGAACAAGAGATTTGTGTAATCTTTCTCTATTTACATATTTTTTAAAAATTATGTATTTACACACATAATTATATGTGTTATGTACACTTCCAATTTGAAATGTTTTGCAAATTTTAACTTATAATTGAGTAGTTTTTTTATAAATGTACAAGTCGATTTTGATGTTTCAAATAAACACACATTTCATTTTTAATGTGTATAATTTTTTGTTGGTATTAACTTATTATCATTAAATAACTATTATTAAAAAAAATTAGCTGAACTGGTCCAAGACCGGGACCGTTAATGTCCCGGGCTTCAAAAAAAAATCCCTGGGACCAGAACTAGACCAGATCCAGGTCCATGCCTAGTGACAATTTCTCTTAGTAAACTTACCTCGACTACACAAATAGTTAGATGCAACTTCAAGTGTTTCAAATTTAACTTCTTTCCACTGCATATTTCTAAACACAATGTTGTGTTAATCGAACCAACAAACAGCAACCGGTCTCTTTCACGAGAAAAGAATAATGATAATTCATAAAAAAGATATTACTAGTCATTCACTCAAATTAATTTGTACTTGTACTTCATATTTCATAATAGTGATGGACCCGGGCCGGGCCAAGGCCCGGTCGGGCCTCGGGTCAGGTAGAGGTAGGCCCGGGACCGGCCCAAGCTATGGCCGGTGCCGGTTCGGGCCGGATCACCCGCCCGGGTCACGGGTCGGGCCACCCGCCGGGCCTGGCCGGGTCATATTTATTTATTTATTTATTTATTTATTTATTTATTTATTTATTTATTTATTTATTTATTTATTTATTTATTTATTTATTTATTTATTTATTTATTTATTTATTTATTTATTTATTTATTTATTTATTTATTTATTTATTTATTTATTTATTTATTTATTTATTTATTTATAATTATTATAGATTATACAAATTCTTATTAAAAACAAAGTTCAAGTGCATTTATTTGAAATAGGAACTACATTTGAGAATTGAGAAAAAAATAACACTATGAAATACATTTTCTAATAAATATCAATTGCGATTTCCGCCACCGTTGGTTGTTGTTTTCCCTTTGTCACAGGACTTCATATGTTTTATTGGCATCCCGTATCCGTGTGAACGCCCCAAGCTACACTCTTTCTTGCACCACTTGCAAGTTGCCCACCACAGTCCGTTCTTCGAGTCCTTCCACTTATCAAAATTGTTTTGCATAAGGGAAAATGTACTTTCCATCTTTAAAATGATAGATGTATAAGTAGGAATGTAGGATAATAAGAGAAGATGACGATGGAGAAGAGTTAGAGAAGATGTGTAGAAAAATGTTAGAAAATAGATGTATTTATAGATGTTTTTGAATCCCACTCCCCACACCACCACCCCCGGGACCCCCCTGCCCCCCACCCAACGGCTATATAGCCGTTTGGGAGCTGTTTTTTTTTAAACTAGATTTTTCACCCGTGCGTTGCACGGGATGCATTACTTAATTATTAAATTTTGTAAATGTTAATATAAGTATAATGGTACAAATTCATGTTCATAAAAATTGCTTGTGACAATTTTTATGAAGATAATGTAAGGGAAAAAACTTGAAGTATAAGTAAAAACAATGCGAATTTTCAAAACATAAGCACTATATTTTTCCTAAATATGAGTAATTTATTATTATCCTTGAACTGTACAATCATATTTTGATATTATGAGACATTAATATGACTTTATTTTAACCATAATTGAATTTTTTCCCAAGTATAATACTCGTAGCAATTATTCATATAAGACAAAACAAATACATTGAGTATATTATATTAAACCCCAGTTGCCAACTATTAGGCTGGAATTAATTCAAACACACCCAAAAAATATTATTTAGAGCCCGACCCGGCCTGGTCCCGATACTAACCCGGGACGGTACCGGGCCTGTATATTATTTAACTGCAGCCGGCCCAAGCCCAGAGCCCAACCCGGCCCGGTCCATGCCTAGTTACCGGTCAATCATATAAATAGTACCAAGCCTTGCATCTTTAATCATTCTAATTCATAGATTCTTTTGTCATGATCATGAAATATTTACTACTCTATACTTTTCCATTATTATTAATAAAACATCTATAGTACTTCTCTCAACGTATCTTCGTCTCCATAAACTAAACTAATCAATGAAATCATTACGACTTAGTGCCCGTTTGGAGGACTAAGACCCATTCAATTGGCTTATGTGGCTGGTTTTTATGATCAACCCAAAAAGTAAGTGAATAGCTACTTTTTGAGCTGAAATCTATTTTTCTACTATTAAGCTATTAAAAGACACTATTATCCATACTTTTTTACTCAAAAACTCATCTCTGGAAACACGGCTAAATAATTCTTGGGATTACTTCCGTGCTGCTACCAATTACTCTGTATTAGATTGATGAAGCCACATACTGTCTTCAACAAATATTATACCCAGTACTTCGTATTTTAGTATACCACTCCAACAACTTTTTATTTAATTGGTATTTAAAACACTTGGATACATTATTTATTGGTATACTAATATGAATACCCTTTATGGTAATTACACATTCAATAAGCCATTTCAACCAAAATAATACCAAACACTACTTCCACTTCAGTCTTTTCAGGCTTTTCAGCCATTCCAGCCAATGCAGCTGTCACCAAACAGGCCCTTAGTAAACAGTGAAGATTTGCCAACATCTGCAGCAACAATTGAACGAAATATCTCTATTTTTTAAAATGAAAACAATTGCAAATGCTCAAATATGAAGCAATATAACTTCTCAAGAGAAAATCATACATTCTGTTGTATTTAAACAGTTCATTCATGTATAATACTAACATCACAACAGTAACATTACACTTTTACCCATAAAAATACGTACTTTTACCCTTTTATGTCAAATGATAATGATAATGGATTTACTATATCACAAATCAATTAGCACCAAAAATGATAATAATGGAACACACACAGATCACTTTCTTGACAGAATAAAGTTCAGTACAATTTCTCACCACCTCAATGCATGTTAATTGAGAGCAGGTAGTACAATAATGTGTGACTGATCGCTTGTTAGTGGAAAGCAAGCCATTTGACGAAAGAAGGCACACTGCTTGACTTGAATTGTTCAAAGCAGATGATCTTTGAAATACATCTTCCTTTTCTTCAAGAAATCCATCGACTTCTCTATGCACTGAGGAGGCGGTATCTCTTTCATCATAATAACATGTTTTAGCTCGGATCTCTTTGGCCTTTTTTGAGGTGCATCTTCTTCTTCTTCTGAGTCCGATACAAAAACTTTTTTTCACGAGCCACCAGCAGTTGTACAATGCTATTGGGCAGCATTCCTCCTCTAGTAGTAGCATCTTCAGGCTCCTCAGAGGCACTTCAGATTCTATTTCATCCTTATTACTTTTTTCATAATGTTAGGCCGTGGAGTTAAGTTCTCAACCCATTTTCTGCGGCGTTCTTTTGCTCCACGAACAACTCTGGACTTGCTATCTCTTTCAACTTTTCTGATTTGCTCATCCTGCTCAATGCCTCTACCCATTCCGACATCGCGATTTTCTTCTTCTGCTCCTCACACTTGCACAAGTACATTTACTATTTGCATTAAAAATATATTCCAAAAAAAAGATATACAACACACTATACTATAGAGAACCACTTGATAAATCCATTTTTAATTTTTTGGGTGATTGTCTTGTTTGATTAGTGAATGAATATACACCCCAATTGTACCTGCAATTAGAAATAAATATATAAATAAAAAGAATAGATATGTACTAATAGAAGATATCATCTTGAGAAGTAGCATGGTCTATCTAGCTATATATTAACACAACGTACAATCTCCGAAGAAGTAACATGAATATCAAACATCAAAGTCACAAAAATTTCTTTTTCCTTGTAATTACAGTTCTTTACTACTGAAACAAAAAAGAAATGGTGTTGAAAAAAATACATTAATAAAGACTACTCTCAACTCACTGACTAATTCAAACAACTTATTTCAAGAATTTCATATTTAATCAAACAAATGGACAAACAGATCTTGAAGAAAAATAATGAACCTCATCCCTTCATCATTTGTTTCATCCCCCCTATTAGTTATTTATGTACAGCAAAAGCGGGAGCAAAGAAAATAAAAAACAAAGCAAATCTGAATTGAGCTCAAATTACACCTTGCCAAAAAGATGACACATTGACTTTGAATGAGCTATGGACATCATGAGAATTCTGAATGAGCTCCCTTGAACTCGTGAGGAACTGTGATTTAACTTCATTTGCATGGAAGGACAAATCAAAGGCGTCTGAGCTCCGATGATTTTGAAAATTCGAAGACAGAAGGTGAGTGGTTTTAGATGATTGAAATCCGAAAGAACGGGAAAGGCAATTAACTTCATTTAGATTAGATGATTCGAGATAGAAACTAAAATGTACTCCTTTTTGAGAACATCCCACAAAGCAATGGTAAGAAGAAAAATTGTCAAAAAACTAAAATGAGATAATTCTGAATGAAAACAAAAGAGGGAGAAAATGACTTATATTTGCAATCTTGTATTTCATCTTTCTAAAAAAATCATCATGTGGATGCAAACAAACCCAAGTAATGATCGAAAAATAGATAACAAACAAAGAATTCAAACTCATCAATAGAAGAAAGGGGAAAATGGGCTAAAAGCTATTGAAGGCACAACTTAGTGTAGACAAACATGATGAATGGAAAGGTTGTACATCTTTATAATGAGCATGGAATTATTTAAGCATTCAATATCAAACACTCTTCTAAATACAAAGAATGTCAGCGTCAATAATATAAATAGATCATTTCCATTTGAGAGATAAAAGAACAAATGTGCTTTTACATACATACCCTTGAAGGTTGGATGTCCTTGGGAGTTGGGAAGGATATCAACGTAGCATTTGTCTCAAAAAGACGTGACTAAACATATTTTAGTACGCTACTGCAATGCGAACATATTTTAGTACGCGGTTAATAAAAAACCTATCAACAGAAAAAAAACATCCATAAACACCATATCAACCAACAATTTTAAGAATACCTGTTTAACAATTTTAAGAATATCAGCAAGTTGGAGTTCTATATGCTGAAATACTTAGTAGCAGGCATTGATAAAGTGTTTTTAAAGTCTTATGCATTTTAGCATCTTAAAATGATATCTTTAATCAATTAATGTGATATGTATATTGGAGGAAGATTGAAAGTATAAGAGACAATAAGCCTGCCATGCTCAAATGAGATTGCAGAACTCCCACTTTGAATAGCAGACCTCTTAAACTTGCTGGAATTTTGAATGTTTAACCCCTTATTGCTATGTGAAATTATTTAGGCATTCAAAATTATCACTTCTCTAAATACAGAAGAATGTTAGCGTCAATAAATAGATCATTTCCATTTGAGAGATAAAAGAACAAATGTGCTTTTACATACATACCCCTTGCGGGTTGGATGTACTTGGGAAGAATCTCAATGTAGCGTTTAGCTCATTAAAATGTACTGAATGAAACCCAGAAGGAGATAAAATCTGAATTTCTACCGAACGATTTAGAGTGCTTAACAGGATTCCTAATTTGATACTAGTCAAACTCAACCATAGAATGAAGTATATGGAAGAGGGAACAATAAATTCAATGGAAATCACAGCCAAAATTGGAAATTAGAAATAAGAGGGAATGAAAAACCTGCAATAGAAAGTTTGCAAGTTGTCTGAACTCCGTTTATTTCTAGAGCGGAAGAAGAGAGATTTCTGAAGGGAGATTTTCGGGTAAAGGCGTTCGTTGATTCTTTCTGATGAAGGAGAGGAGACAAAATCCAAACTGAGATATTTTCCAATTGAAGTCTGATTCTCTATGAAGGAGATTTTTCGATTGAGAAAAGTGGTGACGGGTGAACAAATGTGAGACGTAGATATGGGTGTGGATCGTGAGACTGAAATGTAAGTGAAACTGAGCGGGAAAATGAGATTGGCACAAAGTAGTGCAATTATGTAGAATGATTTTAAATTATTTTTTATTTGAAAATTATACATATTGTAAAATAAGTTAATTAATTTAATGAATAAGTAAAACTATTTTTACTTAGAAAAGTGGTTTGATTTATAATTTACAAATGTTACAAAATAGGTGTATAAGTATTTAAACAAATTACATATTGTAAATGTATTTTTAATTTAAAAACAATCTTTAGATTTTAGAAAAATAATTATAAGTTGTAAGTTTGTAACCAATTAATTAATTTGAGAAGTGCTACATATGAAAAAATGAACGCATATTTATTTGAAATATGAAGTACAAGTTTACAAATTAATTTGAAGTACAAGTACAAATTTACAACTTTGAAATATGAAGTACAAGTTTACAATTTCGAAATATGAAGTACAAGTACAAATTAATTTGAGAAGTGCTACAAAATACATTATATAAGAAATTCTAAAATACTAATAAATCGGAATCTCCGGCATAGGTAGAGCCACCATCGGTTGTTGAGTCATCCATAAATTCTTGTGAGGGGGTGATGCTCATTTCTTGAGTTCTACGTGCGACCTTCAACCAATCGTGGTAGCATATAAGCGTCTCAAGAGACTTCGCGCTCAATTTAGTTCTAGATGCCGTTAGGGCGTTGCCGGCTGAACTAAATTCTTGTTCCACAGTAACTGTTGAAACCGGCATTGATAGTACTTGCTTAGCCATCCGTGCTAAAATCGGGAACGTTCTTTCTTTTGACTTCCACCAGTTTAGAACGTCAAAGTCATCATTTTCTTAAAAATCAACCTCATATGTTAAATACAAAGTAATCTCATTCAATGCGCTTTGTTCAGTAACGTGAGTTGTTTTAGTTTTTTCATAAGATTGCCAAATGCAGATTTAAAAAACGATTTTCCTTTAGATGAAGATGTTCGTGTCGGGGGAGGGGGAGCGTTGCTATATTATGCACGAAACTCATTAAATAAGGCATAAAATAAAGCACTAACCTCGTTGCTTCCCCGTTCCGCCGCCTAATTTTGCATACTCCACGGGGTGCTTTGCCTTAAGGATGATGCCTTGCGGCGAATCCGTATCCGACGGAGGTCCCCAAGCTATAATTGTTGTTGCACCACTTGCAATTTGCGTGCCAATACCCGGTTTGTGCGTTCTTCCACTTATCAAAATTATTTTCATTAGTTCAGATTTACTTTTTGTATTACCGGTGGCGGTTTGGGATGAGACAGGCTCGTCGGCGTCGTGGCTGCCGGCACCCTCCTCCTCGGCTGTCTCCGGTTCCATTTCCTCCGCATCTTCATCCCCAAGCTCCTCTTCGTCAATGGTCGTCGGGATTTGTTGTTGTAGAAAGCGGTTATTATGTCGGGCCAATTCTTGTTGTAGTTGTTCTTCGGACATCGCATCTCCATCCCTCCTTTGGTAACCCGTTTCAAAATCATCTCGGCTTTGAGATGAAGAGCCGGCAAGTTCTTTACCTTTGCGGGATGTCTTCCTCCCAATCTTGTTCCTTCGATTGCGCTCGAGGTTACCCAAATCAACCAAATATCTACCACCATCCATCTTAAAAATGTAACAAGTATTAATTTGCAACAAAAATAATAATGAATACAAAAGTAATGCAACTAATTAAAACTATTTTAATTAATACTTCAAACTAATTTAGTGAAAACTACTTTAATAAAATGTGAAGTACTTTAATTAAGTAGTGAATTAAAGTGTGAATCTATAATACAAATTAAAATTCGAACCCGTTTCAATAGTATTTTTTAATAAATAAATAAAACTAACAAGTGTGACTTTAACTAAAATGTGAGTAATTAAATTATAGCAACTTTTCAAGTACTTTAATTTAGTGAAAACTACTTAAATAAAATGTTAAGTACTTTAATTAAATGATTGAACTACTATTTTTTTTCATTCAAATATAAATTCAAACTATTATAATGTAACTTTAACTATAATGACAATTAACTAGTTTTTTAAAGTAGAGTTGTTTTAGCAATTAATGGGAATACTAATTAACTAATTAACTAGTATAATGAAAAATGTAACAATTAATGGGAATACTAATTAACTAGTATAATGAAAAATGAAACAATTAATGGGAATACTAATTAACTAGTATAGTGAAATGTAACAATTAATGGGAATACTAATTAACTAATTAACTAGTATAATGAAAAATGTAACAAGAATACTAATTAACTAACTAATCAAGTAATGTTAATACAAAATGTAAGTAATAAGACAAATGTATGAATGTGTATAGTAATTAATGGGAGTAAATGAGTAATAGAATGATTTTAAGTGATATTAATTAAAGTGTAACTAATATATAATATAATGTTTATAGTATATAATATATAAGTATACTACTATAAGATGAGTAATACACTTATATTTTATACTTTAATATATAAACTATATATTAAGTAGATGTAGAATGTATGTATTAAGTGGATATAAGTAGATAATTAATATATAAGTAGATATAATAATTGTATAAGAATTAAATATTAGAGTATAATGGAGATTGGAGAATAAGAAAATAAGTATATATGAAATATAAGTAGAGAAGTAGATATTATTATGTATTAAGTATATACTAATAGTTTATAAAGTATATTTAATACTTTAATATATAAAGTATATATTAAGTAGATGTAGTATGTATGTATGTATGTATTAAGTAGATATAAGTAGAGATTAAGTAGATAAGAAATATAAGTAATATAGTATATGTATTTATAAGTAGAGATGAAACTTCATGTCAGGCCGGCCTGACGGGCTGCCCCGTCCGGCCGAGCCCGTTTAAGCACCTTCCCGGTGGAATTTTTTGATGAAATTTTTTGAGCATGTTCCTCATCAAGTCTAGTTTGTCCATACCAAATTTCAGCTCACAATTCAATGGGGAAGGTCGTCAAATGATTTTTGCAAGTTAACTGGTCCGGAAAATACATATTCCGGACCAGTTAACTTGCAAAAATCATTTGATGACCTTCCCTATTGAATTTTGAGCTAAAATTTGGTATGGACAAACTAGACTTGATGAGGAACATACTCAAAAAATTTCATGAAAAAATTCCACCGGGAAGGTGCCCAAACGGGCTCGGCCGGACGGGGAAGCCCGTCAGGCCGGCCTGATGAGAAGAGCTCTCTATAAGTAGATAATTAATATATAAGTAGATATAATAATTGTATAAGTATTAAATAGTAAAATAAAATATAATGGAGAATAAGACAATTTGAGAAGATGAATATGGAGATGAGTAGAGAGTAGGATTTAGGAAGAATTGGAGATAGTCATGGACCCGGTTCGAGCCGCCCGGCCCGGGACTGGCCCGGCCCGCTACTGCGCGGGCCCGAAACCGGCCCGGTTCTCGGGTCCGGTTCAGGCACCGAACCGGTGGGGGGTGGCGGGTCCGGGCTCGGGGCTAGGTTTTGGCGACACGGCCCGGGTCCGGGCCTAACGGTCACAATTTTAAAAAAAAAATCATTTCTTTTTTAAAACACCCTTTTGGGCTGTTGACCCACTTCCCAAACGGCTATATAGCCGTTGGGTGAGTACCAGGGGGGTCCGGGGCTTTTGGGGGGTGGGGGTTAAAAGAAAACCTATAAATACTCCTGATTTTAAACATTTTTTCACACCTCTTCTCCAACTCTTCCTAAATCCTACATTCCTACTCTCTACTCATCTCCATATTCATCTTCTCAAATTCTCTTATTCTCCATTATATTTTATTTTACTATTTAATATTTATACAATTATTATATCTACTTATATAATAATTATCTACTTATAAATACATATACTATATTACTTATATTCCATATCTACTTAATCTCTACTTATTATCTACTTATATCTACTTAATACATACATACATACATACTACATTTACTTAATATATACTTTATATATTAAAGTATTAAATATACTTTATAAACTATTAGTATATACTTAATACATAATAATATCTACTTCTCTACTTATATTTCATATATACTTATTTTCTTATTCTCCAATCTCCAATTCTCCATTATACTCTAATATTTAATTCTTATACAATTATTATATCTACTTATGTATTAATTATCTACTTATATCCACTTAATACATACATTCTACATCTACTTAATATATAGTTTATATATTAAAGTATAAAATATAAGTGTATTACTCATCTTATAGTAGTATACTTATATATTATATACTATAAACATTATATTATATATTAGTTACACTTCAATTAATATCACTTAAAATCATTCTATTACTCTCCAACTCTTTTCCATCTTCATCTTCTCTTATTATCCTACATTCCTACTTATACATCTACCATTTTAAAGATGGAAAGTACATATTCCCTTATACAAAACAATTTTGATAAGTGGAAGGACCCAAAGACCGGACTGTGGTGGACAACTTGCAAGTGGTGCAAGAAAAAGTGTAACTTGGGACGTTCACACGGATACAGGATGCCAATAAAACATATGAAGTCCTGTGACAAAGGGAAAACAACAACCAAAGGTGGCGAAAATCCCAATTGATATTTATTAGAAAATGTATTTCATATTGTTGTTTTTTCTCAATTCTCAAATGTAATTCCTATTTCAAATAAATGCACTTGAACTTTGTTTTTAATAAGAATTTGTATATTCTATAATAATAATTAAAAAAAATTATGACCCGGCCCGGCCCGGCCCGGCCCGGCCCGGCCCGGCCCGGCTGGTGGCCCAACCCGTGACCCGGGTGGGTGGCCCGGCCCGAACCAGCACCGACCATAGCCCGGTCCGGTCCTGGGCCTACCTCTACCTGACCCGGCCCGGGTCCATCACTAGTTGGAGAAGAGGTTTGAAAAAATGTTTAAAATTAGGAGTATTTATAGGTTTTTTTTAACCCCCACCCCCACCCCCCAA